CCAGAGCCTGTTGAAACAATGCCCACTACATCACTATGATGTCCACACTTGGACGTTATTTCAGAATCGACACAAGATAGAAAAGAAACTCAAGTAACCATCAGTTACCCCACACAAACAATGGAATAAGAAAAGCAATAACAGAACATATATTAAGTTTGGCAGTGACAGAAAAAATAATGCATATGATCTTCACTTCTTTATTTAATTAATTGTCTTCTTATTTTACCAGTCAGAGCCTCTAGCAATGTTGGATATTGTGAAAGCATCCATGGAACCAGACTCTTTAGAATGCCCTCCAACGCCCGCTATATAATTGAGTGGAAGCAGTAAAAATAATTCAACTACAGAGCAAACCAAAAAGAATTTGATCCTGCAGTGTAAAAATGTTACACTCAGCAGCACAGACATACCTAAAGTTTTTGTAATCACTATTAATTGTATCCTCGAAGAAATCAATCCCTTCATTTAGAATAATAATATAAAAAATCATTCTCCAGCAAGTAAAATAATTGAGAAATAGAAATTTATTGAATTGCGAAACCCGAATTTAAAGAGGCGGATGAATATCAAAACATCAAGGCCGCATGAGTCGAGAATCTCATCGTCGACGACGGAGAGGGCGAAGCGAATCCAGCCAAGAGAGGGCAGCAGCCGCCGGAAATTGAAGCGGCGGTGGAAAGAAATGTGGTGGTGCTGAGCGAGGCGGCGGGCGTAGTAGACGGGGGCATTGGAGGGCTGTTTCCTCAGAATTGAAAAGAGGGTGAGGATGAGGACCGCCGAACCGATGTTGATTGAAGCTGAAACCACCAAGCTCTCCCCATTCATCTCTACTTTTCTGTTTTCTTCTCAAGAGAATGAATGATTCGTGTTTTTTGTGGAAATTGTTCTAAAGTGTTTCTTCTTTTGACGGTGAAATGAAAGAGTGTTAAAACGTGGCGAAATTTAAAAGGACCAACTCAATAGCTCAACTTTTAACAACCTATATATTCGTATTCATCTTTATTTATGGATAATGGTCCTTCTCCCTCCTTTTCCTACTCCTTTGCATACTCCCTTACGTGTCAATCTATGTGTAATGGAAAGAGAAAAATAAAATGGTACCAAAAAACTTATTTTAAAGAAACTTATATAAAAACTAATCAAAAACCCATAAAATAACAAAACGATATTTACACCCTTAAATCTTGTTTTAAAGAAAAATGCTTAAATTTCTAATATTTGGGAAATGAGTAGAATCAATAATACTCCTCTTTGAAAAAATATTGAAAAAATTTGAAATAATCATGAATTAATTCTTGAAAGACTTGAAAAAACAAGTAGAAATATCGAATTTCTTGATACTTTATTATCAGAAATTCTTGATATTGCAGCAAAAGCTGACAAATTTATTGAAAATGTTAACAAAATAAACGTAAATAGGTTAGAAGGAATCTTAATAAAAATAGACAAGAAAATTCCGCAAATTGAACCATTAATGAAAATTTAAGCAAAGTAATTTTACTTGTAAATCAAATTAGAAAAGAATTAGGATTAAATGTCTAAAAATCCTGAAGTATGAAATGTACAACAAATACTAATGATAATTAGTGAAATAAAGGAAATTGTTCTAAGAATAGAGCAAAATATACAACAATATGATTCTAATAACCAAGACACTAAATTATTAGAAACATAAAGGGTTTTAAGAAATATAAGGAAAAGATGTCTATACCGACATATAGACCACCAAAAGAATGAGATCTTAGTAACCTGTTTAAAAATGGAAGAAAAAGATTACCTGGAGAAAAATGAGTAGTGACACTTATTCTACTCAAAGTGAAACTGATATTCAATCTCTCTTAGACAAATATCAGAATATATTATCTTTAAAAGAATTCATAAGAAATTACAGTGACTCTAGTTCAGAAAATTAAAATCTAGAACCAAAAGATCGTATAAATGTTAAAATTGAAGAAGATCATAAGGATATTCCTCCAGGACTAAATAATTATCAAGACACTCATGGGTTCATGACTCCTAAAGAATATATGAATGATGAGTTCTATAATCCAAATGCAGGTAGGTACTTTGGAGTATCTGATGAAGAAAAAACATTTCCATAAATAAATATTCTAGGAATGATGAATATGAATAGAAGTAAGGCAAAACCTTACAGGAAAAATAAAACAAAGAACTACATTCCGAAGGAATTATACCTAAAGATAACTCTACTAATCACAGTGATAACATACTCAATCTAGATTGTTTGACAAAACCAGTTGAAACAATAAAAGGTTGGTATAATTATATGTTAGTAGTAATACAAACTAATAGAGAAGTGTTTGAAGATCTAAGAACATTAAAAACATATTTACAACTTCATATGAATGAAAATGTTAGAAACAGGTCGGATTCAAACCCATATGTTCCAAGCCTTGATGCTCTTTGGAATAAACCAGAAGATAACATAGAGAATCTAAATGCTTTGGCTAAACTACTCGTTAATGAAGTTGTAGGAGTCAGAGAATTAGATAACACAAGTGTAGTGTTATGTTATGGATTTACAGATTTCTGAGGGGGATTTGATGGTTTGAAGACAAAAAGAATTGATGAAGAAATGTTGAGTGCGATAGATGGGAAAATGGAGAAGAAAGAGATGCAAGCTAGGGTTTTGCCTGAATTGGGGAAGGAGGTTGAGAAGCCGACGCGTGGCACAAACGATGGAGTGCAAAATGATAGTTCTGGGGAAAATCTGACCGCACACGTGGAACCAAAATGAAGACCCTTTTTAATATATTTTTAGTTATTAATTAAATCTCGAAATTGTATTGTTTTTAATTTCTAGAGTTTGGCATTTTGGTTTCCACCCGAGAGGGGTAATTGTAGTGGGCCATGCCCCAGTTCTATTATGCATAAGAACATGAAAAATGAAGGAAAAGAATATAAGTTTGTTATGCATCAATTTGGTCTATCTCTCTCCTCCCTCTAACTCTCATCTTCTTCTTCCCCTCATTTCTTCTTTTCAAGCTTTATAATTACAGAAAAATCCATAAAAATATAAAAACAATACAAATCTGGCTCGGTCATTACATTTGGTATCCAGAGCCACCTTTCCTTGGACATGGCTGAAGGAACCAGATTTAAAGACCTACAAGACATACAAAGAAGAACGGCTCAAAAATTACAGACTGAAATCCTCAAGAGAGAAGCTGCAGAGCTGAAAATGCAGGAAAACTTGGAAACAATCAGCTCACAGTTAAAAAGTGTTGTTGAAGGTCTCAACAAAGAAATTGGGGAGCAGAAATCAGAAGTAAACAGCAAACTCGAGCACCTGGCCAACACCCTAGCTTCCATGCAGCTGCAAATGTTGAACAACAAAGACAGGTTCAGTGATGAAGAGGAATCAATACTGGGGAACCCAAACCTACATTTCTACACTGATCCAACAACAGGCAAGCAGCATCAATTCATCAGAGGCAGACATAACAATTGGTTTCATCAGCAAAACAACAACCAGTTCATAAGTCCAGCTCCCAAAATGAATTGCCCTGGTTTGATAGCTCAAACCCTAGAGCTTGGGTCCTAAAGTGCAATAGCTATTTCAAGTTAATGCCTAACATGTCTGACACTCAGAAAGTAACCCTAGCTTCTATGCATTTAGAAGGCAAAGCTGCCCTATGGTTACAGAAGTTAAGCATTAAACAGTTTAATTTAGGGTGGCAAAAATTTGTTGAAGTGGTGTCAGCTAGGTTTGAGGAACTTAAAGAGGTAAAAATTATTGCAGAGTTCAATAAATTAAAACACATAGGGGCATACAATGATTATGTGGAGAAATTTGAGGAACTCAAATCATACATGCAATTGATAAATCAAGCGGAATTTTCAGAGGATTATTTTTTAGCCAGCTTCATTAGTGGGTTGAGTGAAGAGTTACAGGCATTCCTACACATGTTCAAACCAAAAACACTTCAGCAAACCATTGAACTAGGGCAACAACAACTTCTCACCTTGGAGGTTATTACCAAGAAAATCAAGGGGTACCAAAAACAAGTTTCAAATGCCCAAGGTACTAATACCTATCAACAGAATACCTCAAAAACAAAACACCAAACTCCTTACCACATCAGAAATGGCTGCAAGAAGAGAGAAAGGTTTATGTTACAACAGTGATGAGAAGTTTGTGCCTGGACACAAGTGTAAACACAGAATAAACTACATGATCATGACTGAGGATGAGGAGCTAGCCTACATTCAGTCTGAAGCTGGGGAGAATTTTCTAACCGAGGGTGAATCGTGAAGCAGTTGATGAGGTGCAAATATCTTTAAATGTCATGATTGGTGATGGGGGTTTAACCACCTTAAGGTTCTATGGCTATATTGGAGACCAGAGGCTACTCATTTTGGTGGACACTAGAAGTACTCTCAGTTTCATAAAAGAGTCCACAACCAAATCATTGGGGTGCCAGCTTACTTCAACTAAACCTTTAAAGGTTAAGGTGGCTAATGGGCAGAAATTGATTAGTCACCTTAGTGACATTATTTTGGGTGGTGACTGGTTAAGAACCTGCACTCCCATTGAGCTGGATTATGAATCAATGACAGTTACTATTAATTTGCAAGGGAGAAAAATTATTCTACAAGCTCTAAACCCTGGGGCTGAGTGCCACCTCATTTCAGAGCACTCATTGCTTACCTTGATGCATTTTGAGGAAGAAAACCAAATTGAAGAGGTCTATATGTTATCACTTGAGTCTTAGGAATTTGAAGGGCAGAGGATTTTAAAACCAATCTTGGAAGAGTATCAAGATATATTTCAAGAACCCCAAGGGCTCCCTTTTGAAAGGGGCACTAAACATCAAATATTATTTGAAACCAGACAGTTTACCCAAGCAACAATACCCTTACAGGGTATCACATGATCAAAAAAGCACCATTGAAGAGATTATTCAAGATATGCTCAAGTCTGGCATCATACAAAACAAAAAGTCACCTTTTTGCTTCTCCAGTTTTACTTGTGAAAAAGAAAGACAATACTTGGAGGTTATGTGTTGACTACAGATATTTGATCAGCCTTACAATTAAGCATGAATATCCTATTCCAGTGATTGAGGAACTATTGGATGAACTACAAGGGGCAAGGTGTTTTTCAAAAATTGACCAAAGGTCAGGCTATTTTCAAATCTTGATGAATGAAGCACACAAGTACCTCACTGCCTTCAAGACTCACAGTGGTCACTATGAATTCCTAGTCATGCCCTTTGGGCTCTACAATGCCCCACTACCTTCCAATCACTCATGAATCATGTTTTTAAAGATTGCCTAAGGAAAAATTGTTCTGGTTTTTTTTTATGATATATTGATCTACACCAAAAGTTGGGAGGAACACTGTGATCACTTAAGTAGGGTACTTCAACTGCTGAGGGATCACACTCTATATGCAAAGCTGAGTAAGTGCCACTTTGGTGATTCCAAAGTTGAAAATTTAGGCAATATTACCTCAGCTAAAGGGGTAGCAACCGATCCTAAGAAAATTGAATGCATGTTACAATGGCCAATCCCTACAACCACCAAGAAATTGAGGGGTTTTTTGGGTCTCACA